AATCCGAAATTTATCAAAATAAATTATAAATGAACAATTACCACTCAACAAAAAAAACATTAATTCGAGACGAAAGCAAAAAGTCACAAATAAAAGTCTCGCTAAATATTATAAAAAACTTTATTTTTCGATGGCAAATTATTCAACATCTTATTTAAATATTCCATAATCATAATTCATTCTTAAATAATAACTGAGCAAATCGCGTATAAAACCCGGCAATTGATTGGCACGTCGGGAATAAGAGTACTCTTTTGCATGACGTGCCAACTGAATTGCTATGAAGTATACTTACTATTACGAATTAAAATACATTTCTATAAACGTACAATTTCAATACCCATATTGAATAAAATATGAATGTATAATAAAATTTCAATAAACCATTTACGTACTTTAATAGTAACACATAAAACAAGTACAGTCAGCTGCATAAAAATGTATACAATTATAAAGCTTCAGAAAAATGTAATTGTACAGCCAATAGCACTAATTTAATAGTAAATATTCATGTATAATTATGTAGTTATTTCCTTGTGGAAATTTAATCCAGTGAGACAGAAAACATCACCAAAAATCTTCTTTCGAAGAGGTATGCTTAAGATAAAACTTTATATTTGTACTTTTATAGTTTAATTTGTTATATGTTTTTAAACTACTCTACCGTTCTCCCATAAACACACAATGCAGACAAGCTTGTTAAACACTAAGAAATTAAATGATATTAAAGATAGTAACAATTTTCAATCAAAAATTAAAGTTTTCAAATGATTCCCATCAATCGTTTAGTTCAAAGTAATTGATATAAAAATATTTTTGTTACTTTTATCACTTTAGGCATATTACTTAGTGTTTAACGATATTAAGTCTTCTAACCGTTAGTTTGCACTATCGTAGCACTTGTATTAAAATATACTACTCGCCCATTCTTCGAAATTCGAACATAACTCATAATTAAAGATTTTTTATTCACAGTACTTTAGTTTTAGTCGCGCCTAAAAACGTGTACAAAGTTTTAATTGATTGTCTGCTCTGATTTTTTCTAAAAGTAATCTATTTATGGTTACATGTTTTATACAAGTATTTATACAATGGAAATCCCATTCACATTTATATTTGATTATAACCTAAATCACAAACAGTTTTAGCCGTCACGCCGATTTACGAATTGAAAATGTTTATATATTTCGTATTAAAAAATTAAATATCTATCTACACAATATAAAGCTTATGTTATACGCCTACACTATACCGTAGCCCTCCCCAAAGTAACCTCAAAAGTCCAGCAAATAAAATTGATGTGAACAGATAATGCATAATTTTGAGTTTATAATGTTTTCTTAGTCCTGCTGGAATTGTATCCATTGGGTCCTTTAATAAATACACACGAATACCCTTGATATAACTACAGAAGTATTCTTTCCAGTTTAAATCCTTTAAATTAAAGTCGAATATTTGTTTATCAGCTTCGCATAAATCTTTGAAAAGTGATTGTATGTTATCATTATGGAATTTCCATTCTCTTAATGCGAAATATCCAATGACAGCGGAGAATTTGTCTATTTTCTTGTAAGCTTTTCTTAACCTGAAATGAAAGAATGGCTTTAAATCTTACTCATGTATTCGAAATTTAAAAAAATGATGGATCCTAAAAGGAAACTTAATAATTGTTCTAGCTGTCGCCCGCGACTCCATCAGCGCGGAATTTAAAAAAAAAACTAAAACTAACTGACAAACCAGCTTATGTGTTCTTCTAGACTATGTCTATATCTGTGCCAAAGTTCGTCAATATCTGTTGAGCCGTTCCGAAGATACCTTCAAACAAACATCCATACATCCATCCATCGAATCATTCCCATTTATAATATAAGTATGATGGTCATTATAAATATGCAGTCTGGGAAATTAAACTCCTCCAATATTTCATACTGGGTGCTAATTGCGAAATTTCTTACACGTTATTTTTACATTAATTAAATTAATATTATTAAAGAAGTTTTATGTTGAACATAAACGTAGTATACTTGTACACTTACATAGGTTTTTTGCCAATAACCACAGCGATCGCGTCAATGATATATGCAGGTATCCAATGCAGGAAGAAGCAGATAAAGCTGTACAAGAACTTAGAAGGAGTAATAAAGAAGACATAGTACCACACAGCTTGAATAGTGGGCACTTCCAGACCGTATGTCTCGTTGTACCTCATGAAGTTTCCTATGAAAACAAGAATTGTTACGGTTACATCAGAAATCTGGCAAGACGCAGCAAGTCCGATTCTGGACATTATGGTTTCTTAAATCTTTATTTGACAGTTATTTCACTTCCT